CTAAAATGCAAACAAGATACATTTTAAGTTGTGAAAAAACACTAACTAATCTAATACATCTCATTATTAAAAGTCCAAAATCAACAAACAAACAACTTATGCTTACCTTAATTTCCTAGTCAAACTGCTTGCAATAAATGGATAACCTTTGTGCAAATCAACCAATTAATTAGCAATTGTATATCAAGCAAATCAATGTTTCTTTGGAACAATCATTCTTTTTGGGGCCTATCAAATACCAAGGAACCTTTGTATTCAACCCATCCATCAACATCCTTGGCTTGATGATATTGACAGCAATCCTGAAGCAAAAACTAGTCTGATAAAATTATGAAATGAAGTGCACTTAGAATTCCCCTTAAAATAAAATAAAATAAAATAAAGAAGGAACAAGTAAGTGAAAGAACAAAATAATGAGGAAAGGGGGGTAATCAATTCAGAACAAATAGCACTGATAACACCTTATTGTACTCCCAGCAAAACCCAGAGAGAAGTATTGCTATATCCTGTAACGGACTCTGGATCACTTTATCAATGAATGCTTTAATTTTAGGAGGCTGCACGGGAAGTACAAACTACAAGGTAAGATTTATTGCCCAGGAAAAGGTATATCTACGTGCATGTGTGCTGGAGGTAGCAATTTGAATAAGCTAGCAATTAGTAGAAAAACAATCTGTGAACTGTATAGAACTGGCATAAATTCATTAAATTGGTAAAATATATGCAAACCCAATAGAAGAAAATAAATAAGAATAGCTGAATAGCAATTGACATCACACAAAGCACAAAACCATGAAATCTGACAAAAACAAATAACATCTCAAAATAAAACTTTTAAATATAATTAGTCACAGAAATCAACACATTTTTTAGCTATATACAAGCTTCTTCCAATATGGCATCTACAAATACAAACAAAAAGCTCGTTCACCCAAGACAATTATCATTAAAACAACAAGTTATAGAAGCAAAAATTAATCAATAATAACAAACAAACACATTTTAAGCTTCTAAAGTTGCAAAAGAAACTCCTAATCCATTTAAGTTATCAGAGTCAAACACCATTGCAATTGTCAAAATTACAGTAAAGAAAATAAAAACTCACTGGTTCGGAGTCCAATTTGATAGAAGGACCGATGGCGCCTTCACCAGCCAACAACTGGCGCAACATTGAAGGCAAACTCGATCTCACGTTGGCCATCTCACTCAACTTCCACTGCAAAAGCACACCCGGAAAAAACCAAAAACAAGAATAAAAAAATCAGAAAACCAAACAACCCAACAATCAAAATCTCAAGTCAAAACTAACCCAAATCCCTGATTTTTGAAGCACAGAAAAGAATCCAAACAGATCAGCAATACATACGCATACCTAGAGCATCAAAATCTGAGATTGAAGAAGCAAACAGTACCTGAGAGAGAAGATGGAGAGAGCAATTGATGCCTACACATTAAAAGTGGAGAGCAAGAAGTAGGGTTGAGAGTTTTGGGAGAGAAGAAACCCAAAAGTAGAGAGAGAAGTTTGAGGGGAGGAAGGGGGAGAAGAGAAGTTTTGGTTTAAGTGTGTGTTGGTTTTTAGGGGAAAAAAATAAAATAAATAAAAGCAGAGAATGTGTCTAAGTGCCTGGAGAGCATATGAGCCTGGATAATAGAGCCTCATTCATAATTTCACTTAGAAGACTAACCTGACACCATCTAGCCTTAGCTTTGTTTCTATTGGTGCACACCCATATATGTGAATTACTACACTTTGTGCACTGTATACACCTTGACTCTTCAGAGCAATGATCTTGACCATGCTGTAGAAAGTAAGAGCATCATCAGAAAAATTCAATTACATTACCACTCAACAAGGTGTCCTAAGAGCTACATGCAGAGAGAAGTAGTCTTGTTGAAGGCTGAAGACCTTATGCCATATGCCATACCACAATTTATAAAAATCTTATTTCTTGTTTGCAGATGACACATAAAAAAAAAAAAAAGTTGACGAAAATGGAGCATGTAGCCAGTAACAATCCCAAAGTCAAAGGAAAGGCACATCCAAGTATCATGCTGATCACCATAAGGATTAGAATTACTTATCACAGGAGCACATCATTTAGAAAATGCATTTGAGACAAATCAATTTGTAACAATCAATAACTTGTAAAGTAAAATAAAATGGATGCAGGGGGACTCTTATGCATGAAGAAAGAATTGGAATCTCACAGCACTCATCTGTTGCAAACAATTGACAAAGGGAAGACCACTAAATTTCTCATAGACAAAACATCAAACACCCTGTATGCATTAAAAACAACTCACCCAAAATGCATAAATTCACTTTCAATAAAAGTGATAATTTCATCGAGTTAAACATATTATGAAACCCCATTGCTAACAATGGAATTCAGAAAAAGAAAAAGAGGGAAAAGGAAAAGAAATTGGAAATCAAATTAAAGCATGACAATTAGCCAATGATAGCAAAATAATGCAAGCTAAGAAAAATTACAGATTACCACTCAATCTCCTAAACACTTCAATTCGGATTCAACAGAAAAAATAGAAAGAAAAAACTAAAGGTAATTGAAAATAAATTTGAGTTATTGCAAAATTGATAAGAGACCTAAGTGATACAATTCTAAGTTCTCAAAATGACTACCGAAAGAGAGAGGGAGATTGGAGTTGCACAGGTTGCTGGAAAATGTCCACGCCGTCACCGAGTCGAGTAAAAATCACCAGAGCCTTGGTCTCAATTAACACCGAACCTGGACCGAATGCCCCCAATAAAAAAAACTGCATTTAATTGGAGACGCAATCAGAAACCCTAAACTTTCAAGAGGAAATGAAAACAAAAATTAAACTTTCAATGGGAAGGAAAATGAGGAGAACCTTCAATCGAAACTTCAGAGAAATTGAGCTGAAGGATAATGAGAATGAAATCGGAAATGAGGATAATCGGAATGGAAATTGGAATAGGAATCGGAAATGAGCTTGTGGAGAAATTCTTGAAAGAGAAGAGAATGAAAATGCTTGGGAAAATGCTTGGGAAAATGCTTTCTCGACCGTAATTTTCTGGTTCTTCTCTTTAACTAATTTCCTGCATTTACTAAATAAAACGCAGTGAGTTACCTGTGTTTTGTAAAACGCTACGACAACAAAGTGGGTAAAAAAAAAAAAAAAAATATTAGTTGATTAGCGTTTGGTACAAACGCAAAAATAAAAATGCAGGGGATGGGTGATTTTCCTGTAGTGGATCCTCCTTAAATCTTCTCTATCTTCTCGTTAACCACTTGTTACATGTCAGCCCATGTGGATTACGATCTTCACACACCACATATCCTAGGTCTGCTAACAACACATTTATATTAAATTCAAATAGGGTTTTTATAATTTTATTAAAATTTAAATTTAAATCCTAATAAAAGTTATTATATATTATAATGTGGGTCTCTAAGTTTCTTCTAAAGTAAGTTAAAATTAATTAAGAAACTAAATCTCACTAAAACTCCACGTGATCTTCAAAATTTCTTGAATATGATTGAGCAATTAGGATTTCAAAATTGACTTGAATTATAAATTAGGAAACAAATTGAAGCGCATGGATTGCCAATTTTCTGCTGAGATATCGACAAATTAGCTTATAGTGTCGACACCACGATGTCTCGAAATACAGTTCCAGAACTTTGACCCGGGGTTCCTAAATCATTTTGGTCAGTATTGTATTTTCTCCTCTTGACATGTCAGCATCCTAGTCAGAGGTGTAAATACCTTTCTTGTTCAAGGCAAATTCCTTCTTCGAGCAATTCAAGGCACATTCTCAACAAGGTATGAGCAGAGCTTTCCTATGAAATCCATCTATGTAGCCGCTCAAGTTTTCCTTAGTTCTCTGTTTAATCATCATCGAGTACTTCGAATCTCTCTTAGGTGGCTTAGATTGAATAAAATGGGAGATGAATAGAGAACTTAACTGTTTAATGAGGTGATGAATCTATCAGGTAGGTCAGCAAACCAGGTAGAAGCTACGTTACGTGGGGAAGTTGGGAACTGGTGGCACATGATTGCATCTCCAGCATATACTCATTTGGTGGCTGCAAATGTACTCCACCGAATCAGTGGCACCATCGTATGTGCCCAGCTGCGAAGGTATCTAATAAATCGGTAGAGGTGCTTTCATTATCTCATTGTAGAATTTCTGGCCCAGCAGAACTTCCTCAACTGAAATATAGACACCACCGGTATGATAAGTTATGACGATTACTAGCATTGACTAACTTTTGTGTCATTGTTTTTTATGGATCTGTGATTAAGTTTCTTTGAAGGCCGTAATTAGGATTCCGATTATGTGTAGGGAGGAAATTAAGATGACGTAAGTTTCATTTAAGAGGTTAGTGGAATTGTAAAACACAGTGAGTCAATGGATTAAGAGAATAAAGTGAACCATGGGGATGAAGCACACGATATTGAAAGTGATTCAATTGCGGATTTAAAGAAGAATGATTCTTTCTGCCGGTCACTTCTAGTGAAGAAGACACCACTTCGCATGATAGCGCTATTATTGGTGCCAATAGTTGCCCCATTGAGAGCCTGGATTATGAGTATGCTTACAGTCCTCTTCTCCTTAAATAAATTGTTTGTCTATGCATTCATTAAATTGTAATTTGTCATTGCTGTAGATTAAAAGGCCTTATGTGGCATCTCGAGTAACGCTATATATACAATAATATAGCATAGGCTGCAGGCAACTGAAATCTCTTTTGCTAAGGTTACCGTGGCTGTTAGATAACTTGCTTCGCTTCAACCATAAATGTGTAATTTCCAGTAAATGTTTTGAGTTAAAATCCACCCTTCGCGATGACAACAAGATGGCTGAGTAATTGTCTAGTATGTTCATCTCACATTTTGTGTATTACAGGATTGTGAAAAATGAATTATTGCAGCAAGCAATGCAAATTAAAGCACGATTCAAATTTAAAACACACTTCAGCTAATTGCTTCTCGTTTAATACAAGATAATTTCTATTTTAAAACACAACTAAAAATTAAAACACACTTCAACCAATTTATATCACTAAACACTACCTTTTTTAAAAATAGGCATAGGATCCCGAAATACGGTCGTGCAGGTAGAACTACGTAACAAGAAACTCATCGTATTATACAATACATATTACAATATAAGTAATGAAGTACCAAACCAACAGTAAAGCTGGCCTCATGTACCTCACTGCTTGCCTCCTAAAGCGAAATACTTTCGTTCAACATCAAACCCTTAAATGGTATTGAGCGATAGAGCCCCAGTAACAGTGGATTTTGGTGCAGGAGCAGTTCCTTAAATCAGATATATTTTAATGATATTAGTTAGAAGTCACTAATTGTCATGTAGAAAGAAAGCAGTTTTATTTATTTAATGAAACACAATAACCAGGAATGAGGCAATCGGTTATCATTTTATACTTACCATACAATACAAACATATTGAAGGGATATCATAACTCTGTTAATAAATAGGAATATCAGCTTGTTGACCACTATTGTGATTTAGCGACCATAATTCTTATAAAAAGCATGATAACATTTACAAATTCAAGATTCAATTCTTAACCATCTCATTTTTCATCTTCTAATAGTATTAGTTTTTTTTTTTTTTTTTGGTAAAATCTACTAGTATTAGTTAAAATATATACATATACATGTTCCCACTTGCGGGGCCACAATAATGCAAAGGGGGACTTTTGTAAAAAGATTAATTTGTTCATTTTGAATTTTAGTTTTATTATTTTTATTTTAAATATTTTGACTTCGTTTAACAATATTTTGCATAGATTTTTCTTTTACATGATACTTTATCAAAAAATATACATTTATTATATAAAATCAGCGCAAACTATTGTTAAACGAAATTATATATATATATATATATTAACACATTTTAAATCAAAAATAACAAAACGACAATTACATTTTAGACAAATGACTAGCATGTTCTTTTGATAGTATTACCATTGTACCCATTTTCTTACTATTCAGGTGAAACACTTAAAATTTGAAATCATGTAAGGTAAAGGAGTTAATGGGTATACGCAAATCAATTACCTAGCATTCGTTGTCGAAGTCTTGAGTCAAGCGATGGATCTCCCATCGCCGGAATCCTTGTCAGGAGATGTACCCTGCTTTTTTTTATATATATATAAAATAGTAAGAAAATGCATGCATTAATTTTTACAGAAATTAATTGGGAAAACAGAAGTTTCTCCAGTTAGGGCCACGCTGAGACTTACATGCTGCCGGGATGATGCTTCTGGCGGAACTGGATTCGCAGACGTATCTTTCTGCAGAAAAGATTCAAAATACTTTTCAATTTATTTTTCAACTATGACCTCTTTTTTCCTTACATCGGAAATATGTTGTTGGATTATTTCCTGAATTTTACCACAATATATTAGTAGTGTTAAAGACCGAAAGAACAAAAGGAAAAACAAGGCGCCTTATGATATCCAAAATTTTGAAAACAAAAATCAGTAGTTTCTTTTGAAAGGAAAAATAAGAAATTTTTGGTTTCCAAAGAAACATAGAAAATCGGAGCCAAATTTCACTTGAAAAAATTAAAATCAAAGAACCCTGTACCAAATAAATTTTCAATATTTTCTCTCTTTTTGTTGAACCTACATTCTTAAAGTTGAAATAAGAAATAAAAAATAATACTCCTACTACCGAACAATTCCAAAAAAATTAGTTTCTATTTCTCCAATTAGAAGGAAACTCACCATCAGCTCCTTTTGTTCTCTACGGGCTTGTACCTCCCTAATTAGAAGATCCTCGATAAATGCGTTTCGTGCGGGTGCACGCTCTCGCTCTAACCGTTCACGCTCTGACCGTTCACGCTCTGACCGTTCAGGCTCAGATTTCTGAAAATGAAACCATAAAATGAGGGATTTTGAATGCACTTACCTCAAATATAACGTGTGAATGAGTAATTATATAAAAATAATCTTTTTATATAAATATTTAATAAACCTAATATTCAAATTTAAAACTTTTGATATTTTAAAATTTTAAAACTTTTAACTTAAAGTGTCTAGTTCTCAACAATTGAATTTTGCCATTGAGTTGGAAATATACAGAAACATATAGAAATATACGGTGGGGACTCCACTGCCCTTTGTACCAAAAAGGGAAAAAGAAATATGACAGAGAGTAAATAATGTAAATAATGAT